TATGCAAATCACGTCGAGTGGGAAACATTAAATGAAGTGAAGATGTAATAATCATCATTTTGAGGCAAATGTGTAGTTTTTGTATAAAATTTAATATGCTTATAAGGATTTTAGACAGCAGGACTAAAAAGATGTAATTTTTTCCCTGAGCTTTTGTTTAACGCAATTGGAGGTAGAAACATAGTATGTTTCTACCCTGAGTTTGAGAGAGCAGTTGATGTAAAACATAGTTTTGCCTGTTGAAAATAAAAACAAAGAATGACCAAGTTGACATTTTAAATGTGTCCTAGCATATTATATTAGCAGTTAGCATGGTTACCATTGCTGAAATTGTCACCTTTGTGTCTTATTCCCTCCCAACATTTGTAAGTGCAGCATGTCCCAAACGAGAGGTTCAATGGTCAAGAAATAGAGCAATATTTCTTAATTAACCGCTTTAGCTAAAGTGACTGAAACTGTTTCCTTTTAAATAGCTGGTTAGTTTGTGATACATGTGAAACAGAATTTTAATAGTCAAAATATTAACTTTGAGTCTAAGATAGTCCAGACCAAAGAGTGTTGTCAACATGAGATGGTTGCACTTAGTTTGGTGCATTCACTGATCAGAAAGTGGTGAACTTTTGAAATTCTGACTGACCGATCAAACTGAACATTAGCCGATAACGGTCAAAAGCAGATTTCTTGGTGTGCTTCTAAAGCTTGAGAAAAAAATCTTTGGGATCATATTTTAATATTGCTCTGTTTTCTTGCTGGACTTAAATTACATTCAAGAATTTAAGTCCAGCTTAAGATGGAAATCTTTAGGATGCTGCTTTCCTCCAAAACCTGGTAGCTCATGTCCCTTTGAAACATTGACATATTTAGTCTATTAGTCCCAGCCTAAACAACAATATTTTAGACTTGATTAGCCCATTAGTTCAACTGCAATCGCTTTCCTACTCAGAGACCATTTAAAAAAATTTTTCTCCTCTTTTTCCAACCATATCTCCATCCTGTTAACCTGTTAAAATGGAGGCTGATATCGTCTTTCTCATGTTGTTTTGCTGACGGGAATCTTCTGTTGTTTTGCAACTCGAAGCAAAATAATAATTTCCTTTCTCACTTGCAGAGGAGCTTAGGCTTGAATACTTGT